CACCCACCCTCTCACATCCCCACCCCCTCCTCAACACCCCACCCCCTCCTCACACCCCCACCCCACCTAACACCCCCACCCCCTTTGCTCTGAAACTTACAGGCATAATTAAGTAATCAGGACTTCGGAAAAAATCTAAATGATGAGAAATTGTTTCAGTTGCTATATGGAAAAATCCAAGTTGACATGGCCTACATCTACACAAAAGATATCAGGCCATGCGGTGCGGACTTTACACCATTCACTTCCGTGTGTTCATAAATAATTGTGGGAGCATGTACCAATGTTGGATTTGGTGGATTGGGGGGGGTGGGGGTACGCCCTTCTCTCTCTTCATTAAAAGTATGACGAGCAAAACCAAACATAATCAGATTTTTTTAACCTGTGCCCTACATATTATGCTAATAGGGACCTGCGTCCTTGTTTACAGGAAATCTAACTTGCATAAAAGTTGAAATCTCTTTATTTACCGTCTTTTCCGACTAATCGTCTTATAAAATATGCCCAGGTAGGCCTAGCACTGACTGTTGCTGCATTTTTCACGAAAGCCTCTTCTATCAGCTCATATGTGCCCAGCATTATCATGTGTTGTTCACCAAGTTTGATGTGCATGATATCTCCGTATGTATCATACCATTGAAGAAGATCTGTCGGTTGTCGTCTTTTACCGCTGATCATCAGCTGAGGGAGACATCCCACCACGGGGAAACAGACAGGTCCGGGTGGCCAGTTCACCCGAGAATTGCTGTACGACAGCATCCACATACTTAACAACAACACTGTCACGAATATCAAAACAGTCGGCAAACCAAGGGTTGCGAAAAACTCAGGGAAACTCTGTCCGACGTTGGTCATTTTGGATCCCACAGTTACAGCAACTTCGCCAGTATTATGTAAGAGCTAGAATGGCATAAGCAGTATGCCACGGTAAGATATTATTCACGCAACCTAAACGAAACAAGGTCTATTCCTGATATCTTTATGTGCAATTTATTCTTGTTTATGTGCAGGTATTACTGCAGAGGCGTATTATACAACCATGTTTTTTAACATCACTGACATGGAAAAATGGCAAGATTTCGCACAAATCTTCAAGCAAAGATTTTAAAGAAACAGACGTAAAAGATATTCGCCTACTTCAACCCAAGGAGTTTAAACAAAAAAACTACTTGCTCAACCTGAGTACGGTCGTGAAAGAACGAATGTGTATTTACATATCTTATAACAGAGACCAGTTGACAATACCATACGTAAATTCTCGCTAGGCAGAAAAGTGTTTAAAATTAACGCATAGCTCTGAATATCTAGTGAAAAATCGATCTGTGTCCCAGTTCTGACACACTGGACGTCTTTTACAGATTAACTGGACACAGCCCTGCTATCCTGTAATGAAAAAGCAGCGTGTATTATTAATATTATTGTTACCATTTGCAATAATATGCAGACTTGATATTTAATATGGAATATTTTTCAAAATCATAATTCATCAGTTTTTCCCTATTTTGCTGACTGATAAATGAAAATAAGTATTAAAATGGTGTTTTTATAACTTTTAAGAATCTCTTTGATGTCACTGTGACATCAGTTCATTAGCTGAATTCGCCAGTGAAGCAAACAAAAATACATTGCCTAGTCAAAGTCATACGACAACCATTGAAACAATATTTTGGATCTCCATATTTTCCAAATTATCGCCTTTAAAAGAGTTACACACCCCACAAATAATCCTCATGTCAGTGTCTAGGCACAGTAACAGTAGCTGTTACGCCTGACCTCATATGGCTGCTGCCAGAGCTTTTAAGCGGCAAGGCATTCCTTTGGATAGGTTTTTAGAGTTTAATTTGGAAAAAACTTCCAGACAACAGCCAAAACTTGTCCAATTTGGTTCGGTTTTGCTGTAGGGCCATTGATTCGGTGAGAAATGTCCTACCCACATATCGTCTATGTGTTTCAAAAATGGCGATTTTTATGACCAAGGTAACTGCTCATTCCCTTGGTTCTGTAAGTTATCCGCTATTTAAAGTGCTCTGTGTGAACTGGCAATCTCATCGTGTAATCTAAATTTATTCCTAAGGTGCCCCCTATCAAATGATAGTCAAGTGGTTCCCAGATTATTCACTTATTTGATCTGGTTCAGGTTTTCATCGATGACTACCATTGGTGTTTTGGCACCAATGTGGTATCCACTCCAAATACTGACGCTGTTGACATCAGTGACCTTGGTAACTTTAGAAGCGGCACACTCTTCATTGTAGGCCTTTCAGGATGTCTTTAAACTCTGGTTTGACCAGTTAAGCGGTACAGGTGAAATCTGACCTCAATACAGAAAGCCACGCGGTTTCAGTGTTCTGCCCAGAAACGGTCATGGTCCCCAATTCATTAGAGAAACGCTGTTTTGCTGTTTACAGTGGCTTCCTCAGAGGTCCTCTTGTATCCTAACCTGCTGAAACCAGGGTGGTGTTCATTCAGAGCCTTGAAAAATGCGTTTTGGTGACAATTTGCCCCTTATTCTTAACGGACTGGGTGGTTTTTGTTTAGTTACAGCAGCATATCCGGAAGGACAGTGAGTCCTGTACCCTGGTGGTAAGATTTCGATACATAGGGCGTGACCTCTGTGTACAGTAGGTGCATCAGTCTGGGCATAACTCATAAAACTGTGCGGACCATTCCGTGTGACGCAATAATCTGTCTTGCAATGTCTGTCTTTTTGCGCCACTCTGGCACAGACTAACACTTTTGTATAACACTGCTTAACTCGTTTTACGCACTGCAAACCTGCAAAACCGACCGCTTGCATGCAAATTCTTCGATGCAATAGTTGCCGACATATGGATACTTATTTGACAAAACCATGCTTCGCCAAATCCAAGCTTTGACCTGCCCAAAGTAGCACTGCCCAATTAAATCACTGCATCTTACACAATGGAGCAGTGCAACAGACATGGTAGTCAGTTAATTGGTAGCGACTCTCCTCACTTAACACTTCTTCAGTCAAATATCTTATATGAGATCTGAGTTTTTTTGAAAAAAAGAACGCATTTTTACCAAGGTATGCCTTTGAAACTGAATTATTCCATATTAATTCAAGTGTGTAGTTGATCAACTGATAAAACTTAATATTTGACAGTGCTCAGGGAACAAATTTCCTTGAAAACCCCCAGTCAAGAGTGTTGGAGCTTAAAATGTCTGAGTCACTTCAATGCGTATAAAAATACTCACTCTGTTTTGTCTACTGTCTGCTTCTTAAAACTATATGCATGTATCGGTTTCAATATACAGGGTTACCACTTAATATGGAATATTATTTTTTGGCGAGTAAATTTTCTACAAAATATTTATTTTCTCTCTAACTACTTTACATCCAAATCTGAGGTGTCACTCCCTGAGTAGCCAGGTGTGTTACCTAATTACCATACAACTCTCGAAACAATTGATGCATACAGTTGCATTTTCTGTGGTCAGAAATGTGAGGGGTGGTCTTTTCGGCAATTTCTGCCCTTGTATAAAAACGCATGGGTTTGGTCAATCTTTGGAGTGTGTTTAGAGAAGCAACAAAGGGATCGCACTGAAACTTGACAGGTACCTTATTGAAGATATGGTTCGACAGCTAAGCAAAGCAGCTTACTATGGGACTCTTGCTCTCAGAGAAAATGTCCAGAAACGGACAGCCATTGCCAGGTAATTCAACATTTATCAAGAAC